TGATTTAAATGCCCCTTTAGGTGTCACCCTAGTATATAATATGTGGTGCTCTATGGGAACTGTAGGTGGAGTCAAAGCACAAAGAATCCACACTTTTATTTTTTTACAACAAAGCCGTTGTCTGCACTAACATTAGAGAATTTAGCAAAAGATCCAACCACTAGAATTGCTATTCCTGAGTTGAATTTGGGCTGAGAGTGCTGCAAATCAAATTGTAAGATAGGACGGAGGTGCAGCAACATCCCCAGACATTTCAGAGATGAAGGTCAAGCCTAAACAATCTGTGTCCTCTGTTCTGTCTGTGTCTGTTTAGAGAAGACCACTCAATGCATTCATCCATATACGCTGTTCACATCATTTCAAACCCTTCATACATTGTCATTAATCATTTCTTATTGTTAAAAGCCATCGAACAAAAGACTGCACTTGTCATATCATCAAAATGCATTTGTGAAGCCATCTAGAAAATAGAAATGATAATGATACAAAGTGACGATGCTGATTTAGGTTAAAACCTGCAGATATTTTTTGTATTCATGTTCCAGATTTTTTGTTATTTGCAGGCATATTCTGTGAGGGAGCATGATTTCCCTGAGTGATGTTTTGCTGCCTCATGGCTCTTTAAGTACTCAGAAAAAAAAGCCCATGATGTCACTGTTTACCTATCTCACCAGAACACCCCCCACCCCCCCCTATTCATAGTCATTTACTTGTCTCCCTTCCATTTGCAGCTGTCAGAATTAAACTGTAAATAATGGCTGCTATCAAGTCTCTTGCTTCCTGGCTGCTGCTAACCCCAAATCAACATTCCTGCTTCTTAGTGATGTTCATTGCAATTGTTGGGCAAATTGTTTGTTTTGAAAATGCAAAATCAAATAGCCCCGATGTGAAAGAAAGAGCATCTGATTGGCTTCCAGTGTTCCCTCGCTTGATTTGAATTTAGCGCAAATGAGGAAAGGTGGGGGCAGTTGTTTGTCTGCATGTGTGTGCACGTGTAGGTAGTTAAATACACAACAACAGCTTGTACTGTAGCTGTCTGTGTTCATCTTCAGGTGTCACAGCAAGTACTGACTGTATACGCTCACAGGCCACTTTATTAGGTACTCTGGTTCAACTGCATGTCAACGCAAATATGTATTTTTATTTAGGTGGCAGCATTACGATGCATACAGGGATGTAGATGTGCCCAGGTGGTTCTGCTGAAGTTCATTAGTACTAAGCCTGGCCTTCTAAAAGTGACATCCTCACACTGCACATTGAAACTGATATTTCAATGAAGTGTCAAGGGAAGTGTATTTTTGTCCTAGATTCCATTTTTGGTCTTTGTTTTGACACAACACAAATATTTTTCCATTCAAAATCTACTAGTTTGCACCTGGAAGAGTATGGATTGTTCATATAAACACTGGACTTCCACTCATGAGTCTTAATGTCCTGTGTAAAATAAAATGTCAAGTACCGTAGACAGGCAATCAAATTTTTGGTCCTGTAGAAAAAATGAAGCATTGTTTTAAACACCACAGCCTACCTGAGTATTGTTGCTGACCTTCAGTGTACCTTTATTCTAATTGCTACACCGAGTGAGATAAAACCGCACAGACTTTTAGTCTAGTTGCCAGTTCATTCAAGTTCGTTTTCGAACCGGGACATTACGAGTACCCCAAAGTTTTATGTTAGAAATGTATAGTAAGGGTCCCCAGCACATAGAAACTACCGGATGCTAACTTGCATAAGTTGCGTTAATTAGCATTACATTGCATTGCATTACATTGCATTGCATTACATTGCATTATAACCTATGCAGACAATAGTGTAAAAATGGCTTGGCTGAATTGGAACATTTTGGAGTGGTTTTGTGGGTTATTGAGGATGTTGAATCAATTTAAGCCTTTTTAAGGATCTATCATTTGGATTGGACAGATAGCTTATTTATTTGAATGAAAATTGTCCACAGTAGAGGTACTGTAATCATTCTTATTTCGAGCTCTTTATATCCAATGGTCGCAACACTACTCATGGTAGTCAAAATCAGCCCACAGGGTACAAATATGGCTATAAAATGATATTTAATGCTTAGTAACGAAACATATGCTAATTCTGCAAATTGCCCAACATATGTTAGTTAGCATCCGGCAGTTTGTAATTACTAGGGACCCTTACTATACATTTCATACATAAAACTTTGGGGTAATCAACATATTCTGGTTTCACAATGCTGGCAACTAGACTATTAAGGCTGTTCTGATAGCAAAAAGGGCAACATGTACCTACTATATTAGCAGCTAAGTGTATCCGTGAGAGACGGCACCAAACAGCTAACATTTCAGTTACAACGGAAACAGATTTTCACAAAGAAGCTTCTAATAGTATGTCTGATTAGGAAAGACAGCATTCCCTAAAGCCCTGAGGCTGTGTTCAGTCAGGGGAGCTGCTATTGACGGATATTGAAGGATTTACAGTTGTAAGGGTGGAGAAAGCAGGATGTCCAAATTAAGCCAACAAGTCAGTCAATGCTGTGTTTAAGACAAGTGCAAACTTGCTTCCTCTTGGAAGTCTCTTGGCAGATATTTGTATCCGTGTAAATAAGGTGTGTACAGTAATTGAGCTTTAATGGAGTGTGTGAGTATTGGAAGCTGATCTCTGAGGCACTGACTTCTCTTTCTGTTAGGCATTTTACTCATCCACAGTAGCATTCAAGTCCAACAGTAGAATCAGATTTTGTCTAGCAACAACATGGCAAACAATCCTTAGTAAAGTGTGAACTGTTTAGGAAGCTTTGACCAGACACTAGATATCTAGAGAAACATACATGGAAGAGGTTAAGGACAGTGGTATAAAATAAAATAAATGACTGACTACTGCTGACATTTGTCTATTACTAGGTTAGTTTACCATGGATGGTGACCATTACATATATCAGATGTCAAAGAAAAGTAATTCATTTTCTGGCATAGTAAATATTTTCCTTTCCGGTAAATATTTAGAAAATGTATTGCCTCGTTCAACTTTTTCTCTTGAACTTGAAGTTGATCTTATTCATAATCTAAGAGGCAAAGTATGTGATACCATATATTTGTAATGATTGATTAACGAGACTAAAGGAAAGGGCATTTGTATTCATTAGGCAGAGAGGGCCAGGAAACTGTCAATGGACCCTGCGAGGAGGAGAGCAAAGCACCGTGTTTTGCACAGACTTTGGCAACGGCTAGCCTGAAATACTCTCAGCTTCTAACCATAATTCCTCGTCTGTTCTCTCTTTTTCCCTTGCTCATGCTTCAGATAACATCCCATAGACTTGTGGGTATAAACTACCGTTCATGTGTGTTTTATTTTTGGTAGAATTAGCAGGTGAAGCAGCCATTTGTTTTAGGTCATTAGCTCCCGGACGCCTGCATCGATTTAATTTTGGTTCAATTTTATTTTAGATGCAGTGAGTGTGGACTTATTAGATGAACAAAGGAAAGGTTATTTTAAAGACTAAATTAAAAAGGGGTTATTCTTGGGGAAATTGAGTGAAGGGAAATATATTTGAGTGCTTTTGTATGTTACTTTCTAGTGTCTTTTATATGCTTCTCACAGACTACAGTTCACACAATCACTGTAGAAGCACATAGATGGGTTTCATAGAAACTGTAACAGAAGACTGTGTATCTACTGCAAGACTAGAAGATTTCAGCATTAGAATATTTCTCGAATTTGTCAACACGTGTCAGTGTAATTTGATAATGCTTGTGTGGTTGTATGTCCTATAGGAAACAGCAGTAAGTAATAACGCTGACTGAGCAGCTTCACAGAGGAGGACCAGCTCTGACTGGACTTTATAAAGTCCATGCTGCACTCTTCTCTGATATACACCCTAGGTCACAACTATTTTTCCAAACTTTCGAAGTCCATCAAAGACTCTTTGAAAGAGTTCAAACACTGAGGATAAAACTAACCTACAAGAACAGTAGCCTGGCTTATAAAACAGAACATGGCTGTTAGGCTTGTGTATTCTAACTCAAGTATGTGTGGTATTGTCCGGAGTTTTCTTTAATGGTGTGGGTATTTTATTGAAGCTCATGTTTTCAATGGACTGTGTTTACAAATGAGACATTGAGCCGTACTTTCAAAGTATCTTTACAGAGGTTTGTGTTTTGGAAACTGTGATTACAGGAGATTTGTTTGGACACTCAGTACACATGTAGTGCTGTGGATAATCTGTAAACTAAGTTAAGCTCCATAATGAGTGCTTTGTTGGAGTTGCAAACAAAAGCAGTTTTTCTAAACAAAGGGAAATTGATATTTAACTCACTGCAGGGTCATATTACATTTTTTTGTCATGAACACTTTTTCTTTCTTTTAATTTCTCAGAAGTTGATCAGTTTAAACATTGTAACATTGTTACAGGAAGTTGTTGAAACTTAGAAGAAATGTATTTGGTTATTTAACATGAAGGACCATATATAAACGTTATATGTTTTTCAATTAAATATAATTTGTTAAAATGTGAATTGTGTTAGATCAACTAATTATTGAAAATAAACTTTATGAAATACACAAATATAGTTGCTAAAATTATAAAAAAGTATTTGCTTTTACAATTTGGACAGCAATACTCTTATTTGCTCATTGACAACAAGTCATTTTACTCAGTTTAGGCAAATCTAAAATATTTTACAAGCTGACTTTTTTCATTTTTGTTGAACTGATTTTATATCATTTTTCCAAATGTATTTTTAGTGTTACATCTTCTCTGTATTATTGAGTTACTTAAAAAAACGTGTATTATGTTATGTTGGAGCCAGATCAAAGCAACGATTTTTACAGTGTATAAAAAAACATGTATTTATAGAGATCTTGGATAAAATCTCTTCTGTACAATGCTGTCAGTCTAAAGGGGTTTAAGAGTGTGTGTGTGTGTGTGGGGGGGGTCTCTGGGGTCTATGTCTATGGGGAGAAGCAGAGCAGGAGAAGTTGGAGAGAGCAGCAGCCACACAGAACATGGACAGAGCGTTTACCTGGCCCTGTGCTCTGTGGGTACGCCAAGTAGCCGCCTCTTCCACGGGCCCCCCTACCTGAGCCACGCGCTGCTGCTACCGCCGCCGCCGCCACCGGTCCATACGCTGTCGCTGGGAAGCCTGCAGGCACATACACACATACACACACGCATCACTTCCTGCACATGGATGAGCACGTCCCAGAGCTACAGGAGAATGTTGATACCCGCGCTGAGCTACGGGCTAAAACTATAGCTGTCAGAGACTGGTGTCGGGGCGACATCTATCAGCAGCCTCTCACTGAACCTGCTGTGATATTCAAAGCCCCGCACACCCACTGATCCGCACGCAGAATAAGAGAGATAGCCATGAGCAACTCACCGGATATCACATTAAAATACTTTGTGCAGCTTCAATGTACTTGTCATGATCATCACTTTAAATTCATATCCTCTCAATTTCCCCTCTCGTAGAACATTTCTGTCCGACTGAAAAAAGGTGCACATTCTTATTCATCTATGAAACTGTGAGCAAACTGACAATTCACTAAGTCCCTGGTTATATTAGTGAGAGTATTTGGCTCTGGGGGGTGTTTATGTCACATGCTTTTGATGAAAGATTACAGCCACTTCTGAGCTGGGCATAATAGCCCGACCTCTGGGGACCGTCCAGCATTTTGTTCAGGAGTGCTCCCAATTACCCAGAGTTTCAATGGAATCAGAATCATCCACTCTCGTCTGAGAAGAAAAGTATTCCCATGCTTTTTTTGCTGTGGGGCTATACAGGTAGAAGACATGCAGTAGAAAAGAATACTTTTCCACAATCAAGACGAGACTTCTGTTTTATGATATGTCAATCTGTTTCGTTCTACTCTTCTGTTAAGGCTGAACACTAAATCATTTAGAGAACTCCAATCCTTCGATATTGAAAACTTTAAAGGAGACATAATATGCTCATTTTCAGCTTCATACATGTATTTTGGGTTTATAATAAAGCATGTTAAAGTTGAAAAATCACATATTTCTAATACTGTCTGAATGTACCTGCATTCACACTCTGTCTAAGACGCTCTGTTTTAGCGCCTGTCTCTTTAAGACTCCTCTCCAAAACAAGCAGTGTCTTACCTTTGTGCTTTTGATGTCTTTGCAACACCATTGCATAAAGACAATGACCTTTATACGTATGTATAGTTGTTACATCATAACCTTAAGGAAGTCCAAACTTACGACTTATTTAAAGGCACAGCTTCTGAATACGATCTGTGTGCTTTTCACTTGTTGAGATTGAGCTTTTTGATACTTTCGTAATATTTTAGTAGTATCTTTTTCAAGATTGTACCTTTAAAAGCATTCAAAAGGTAAATCCAAATTGTCAGTTTGTGAAAACTAAAAGGCAATATTACCATGCAAATATGAATTCACCTCTTTAGGGTCTGATTATTCCCACAAATATCAGCCTAATAATCAGTCTGTAATTAAGCCACCGCAGTATCTGTGAATTTTAATTACATTGTTGGCCTTAATGAACACGGTAGCTAGAGGTGTCTGGCAGAGGCTGGTCCATGCCCAGGGCCCGGCTCCTCTCACAGCTCAGGAATGGCATGTCATTAGCGCTGGTGATGAGATTCCTCACTCTGGGCTCAACACCGTCTATGCCTAATCAGCTTCCTAAAATTATCTCCACAGGAAACACTTTCCTCACTGGCAAAAAAAAATATGGTCTCCAAATTCCCTCAATTGGAGCCTTTCTTGATTTCTTCCTTCTAGCTGTATGTGTGCTCATGTGTGAGTTTCTTCTATGTTTTGGCCCTATTCTGGAGACTGTGGTTGAGACATTACAAAATGGCACAGGACACCTGAGAGGATTATTTTTTTGAATGCTGTGGAGGTGAGAGGAGCACCAGCGGGTGACCTATTTTCTGAGTCAGCCTCATACTGCTGTTCCACCGTGAGGGGCTCACACAAAAGACTGATGAGAGGGAGGGGGAGGGGGAGGGGGAGAGGGAGGGGGAGGGGGAGGAGGTGACAGGGCAGGGTCAGATGAGCCGCAGCCAAAGAGAAAAACACATAGCTTTTCATCAGCCGGCTGAGAAGGAGGTAATTCACAACTCTGTCCACACAATACGACTGTGAATGTGTGTGTTGGGTGTGAGGTGCCAGCATGTTGCGGCAGGTGAAGAAGAGAAAGAAATGGCACTTTTCCCACCCAACTATCTCACAGCCCAGGAGAGAAAAAAGGGGGCAGAGAAAACAAAAAAGACGGCAACTAAAAGGACCCGATTCCTACGGCTCAAATGATTTTCTCCGCCTCTTTTCACAAAAACACAAATCAACTCTGATACTATGCTAATGATGGCCATGCACCCCTGCATTTCCACTTACAGTGTCCCCATGGCTGCTGTGCGGAACAGCACTCCCCACCTCTTTTTCCCCCACTCTCTCTCTCTCTTCCCCTTTCCTAAGTGCTGAATCTATCTTCCCCTCGCTGCCATTGTCATGACACCCCCAATAGACCCACTGGCTTGGAAGTTAGTTGCGGGCAAAGTTGTGGTGAGAGATTAACTTTGCAGGATTAGGTGGGTTAATTAATAGATGGCTGCTGCTCATTGTTTTGTGCTCACGCTGTAAGAAGCCACCCAAGAGAAGCGCTGCAGCATTAAATCAATTTCATGGCCCTTTTATTACTGAGGAGATAAAGCCAATATTTAGCTTTCAATTCTTCACAATTATTGGGCCCCTGCTTTGCCACTTGAGTGGCTGCGCTTGGCTGGGGACAAGGACACATCTGTTTATGAGCTGTGGAGGCCCGGGGGCCTTGGTGTCCGGACTCAGGGGAACTGTCCTCAGCTTTCTCGCCTAAAGCCTGTAGCACAGAAATCCTGCCTTCCTCAGGAGGGCACACTGAAAGGAAGTAATATTAGAACCAGAGAATGACGAGGACTGTCAAGAAGCTCAAAGCTGTTTCACTCTTTCTCTGTCACTGTAAAGACTGAAACGTTTACTTGAATTAAATGAATTAGAAATGTCACAAAACTGTATTAGGTTAGTATTATTAAGTTGACCTAATATTTTTTATTTAAAAATATTATTGCTTTCCATTAACCTAATACAGTTATGTGAAATCTGTTGACATTATACATTCGATTTAAGTCAACATTTCAGTTTTTCAGTTTAAGCAAATATATTAAACCTTCTCAACTAAGTTTTAGATTACAATTTCTTCAAATTTTGGGTATTTCTCCCCAAAAACATCAGAATTTTTACGTGCTTAAGACTTTGCATTCAATTGTTTACATGTATTCCTATCCATCCAACTCCACCGTTTGCAAACATTGACCAAGATTCAGAATCTGATGCAAATGTTACGCCATATGAGTCCAAATCCTTGCCTACCTATAATAAACGTTGCTAAGGCAACTTGCCAACAGAGTGGTACGTTCAATTCATAGTATTGTCAGGTCTGTGCTGAGGGAACACAATGTGCATTCAGAGCACACAAGGCTCTATTTTCATGACAGTGCAAAACACATGTCGGCACTTTATGCCTGTAAAGTAGCATTTTTCTTTGGAGCACACCGGCTCTTTTCCACCTGCACCTGTACTTTGTGAGTCTCTGTGAACTTGACTGTGCTGAAGTAGGAGGAGAGACGCAGTAGGGGCACTGTCACAGTGATCAAACTGCACAGTGCAATTTTTGTGTCAAGGTTTCCTGAGATATTTGCTTGCAGCGACTGCCTGCACAGGCCAGGTCAAGAGCTTTGTTTTCCCTATTATAAAACTGTCAAAGCACTTTGCAGAATCTCATACTGCTTTTAAAGTAGCTCTTATTGGTCGGATTAATTCTAGTGCCCCATCATGACCAAGGATGATGTATTCTTCCACATGTCAACATGTTCTCAAGCTGCTCTGCGGTTGAATTGCATGCTGTCAACATCAGCATTACCTAATGTAAATCACCAAGCCTTGAAATATCCATGCTGAGCGCCACATTGCCTTCATCTGTACAGTTTAAGTTACTCATCAGAGTGTGTGCACTTCGTCTAGCGTAGATGTTTAACCCTGCAAGGCTAATTTTCTTTTATGATATTACAGGCGTATAAATGTAATATTATAAGGGTCTTATTAAATGATTAAAAACATATTTCTTAGACATTTTATGGGGGTTAAACTTTACCTCAGATCTTTACTGATACGTTCCTGCAAATCTTTTTTGACATACTGCCTTTCTAGCCACTTTCAGATCCTATTACTCAGAAAACGTCTCGATGAAAAGTTGTTGCATTATGCATCAATAAGGTCCTATTTATGTCCCAGCAGTCTGACAACAGCTTGACTGATGTTAATGTAATCTGTACTGTTCTTTGGCCCAAAACTGCCAGCAGCAGCTCCCCCGTCATTGACAAAGGAGCTCCATCAGTCACAGAGCCCTGGCTCATTTCTGCTAAAAGAAGAACTGTCAACTCTCTAATGCACAGGAGGGGCCCAGGGACAGCTGATAATCTACAGAGGGTCTATGATGGGCCGGCCTCTGCCCACATTTTAATATCTTTCTGAAACTCAAAAGTAATAGGGCTTACATGTAGCACTTCATTTTCAGTGGACGTCTCAAGTGGTATAAAGTAAGAGGACATTACACACAATGTTTGGAAAGTGTGAATAATGTGTACCATGAAATGTTTTGTTAAGCAACTTTTTTGCCTAACTGTATGCACAAAAAAACAGAAAGACATTCCCATCATACACATGAAATCCAGCATTGCAGTGCAGCTATCCAGGATTATCCTGCTGGCTCCACAAGTTTCCATTAGGGATACACAATGATATCGGCACATTATCAGTTGCAGCAGATAAACACTAGAAGAAAGGAATGAAAATCGGCATCAAAAATGTCCAACATATTTTTTACAATATAACAGTATATTATGTAATATACAAATACATATCGCATGTTATAGGTTACCGAAGTTGAGATTTGTTCTTATTTTGCCCAGTGAATGTGCACATTTTGAATAACATTGTCTCCGTCTGCTAGTGAGTCATCAGAATAACTTTTAGCATAACAATATGTCAATCCAACTACAGGATGAAATTGTTCTCTGTTATTAGGTGTGTATTATCAGGCTAAAATTCAGATGTTGGTAT